CCCAGTGCTGGGCCAGGGGCTGAGCACCTCAGCTGCAGCCAACCTGCTCCTCCCGCTCACTTCCAGCATGTGGTTTTCTTCGTCGGACGTGTGATTGCGTGGCTGGTGCCTGATATCCCTGAGGCTGTGGAGGTGAAGGTGAAGCGTGAACGGTACCTGGCCAAGGAGGCCCTGGCTGAGAACAAGGTGAGCTGCAGCAGCTCCTTCACCTCTTCCTTTAAAGCCTTTTTGCCTTACACTTGCACCAAGGCGAGCATAGGAAGGCAGCCTGGAAGGAGCTGTGGCTGCTCCTGCTAAAGAAACGCCAGCTCCCTGTTTCTGCGGTCCAGGTCCTTCTGGAGAGACGGGAGACAAGAAGCAAGGCGAGTGGCACGGACCCTGCTGCAGGCAGGGACTGGGAAACTGAGCAGCTCGCCAGCAGCTGAGCAGTGCCACAGCCTGGGCACGGGGCCGGGCAGAGGAGGTGGTGAGCAGCTCCTCCTGGGCCAGCAGGAGGGCTGTGCTCTCCCTGCCCACCCGGGCAGCTGGGCACAGCTGGTGCCAAGGGTGGGAATGGACCCTGCTGGCTCTGGCTGTCTGCCCCAGCCTGTTGGCACTACAGCACGGTGACTCCCCTGCTGTGTACACGACCTGGCAGGGAGGGAATCAGAGTGGTGCTGGTCACAGAAAGCAGATGAGAGGCTCTGGCTGGGGAGGAGCTGAGTGAGATGATGGTTGGTGCCTCCATCTCCTCCCTGACCGTGGCAGCCTCCCAGGCACCGCTGGCCTGGGCGTGAGCGGGTTGGCATCCCTCCGCAGAGGGCACAGCCTCTGGCCCTGCTCTCATCTCCTGCCTGGACCCACCACCTGCCCACTGAGTCCCACTGCAGGTGTGCACGCTGGGACTCCTGGGCCTGGGCTAACCCCAGCCCAGGCTGCCTTGGATCTCACCCCACCAGCAGAAATAATCTCCGCCACACGCCAAGCTGTTTCAGGTTTTATTTTAGAATTTATAAAATTCCAGTGTCATCCATACTCATGAGCCTTTTTACATGTTTGCATATAGTCTCCAAATTCCAAAGTTAAGGCCAAGGGATCATTGCTATGGAAACGTACAATATGGAAGACGTCAGAGAGAGGAAATGGACACATGCCACAGTCTGCTGCGGAAGGAGGGTGTAGGGGACAGGACTAGGTACAATCACTTCATGACCTTCTTCAGCGTGGAGGGTCGGGCTGTGGGGCACGGCCCAGGTGGTGGGTGCCCCGGGTGGAACTCAAGCTTTGCTGTGCAACTGGTGAGGGCACAGGGCAGAAAGAGGAGCAGGGGGCAACAGGCTTGGTGACACAGGACAGGCCTAAGCTACAGGAGTATTGACCAGTTCCCAACAGACGCAGGTGGGAGGGGATCCACCCTAGTTCTGTCTGACCCTCCCTCCCCCGTGCTGTCCTTCGGGGGCAGCGAGGCACCCACCATGGGCCATTTCACTCAGTTCTCAGACTTAAGGAGAGCACTGGGAGGTTTTGGTTCAACTTCTGCATACCAGGCTCTGCCAAGAAGAGCTGGCACAGGAAGGAAAAGCATCGGCGTGTTCCACCTGCCCCGTGGAGGGCAAGGCAGGAAGGCTAGGCTGAGCCTGGCAGAGCTTTGCTCCATCAGCAGCACTAGAGAAGAGAGGAGAGAGGCTAGGGACTCCTGCTCGTCCAAGAGCTGAAGCAGCCGGGATAGAGGAATGGCTCAGGCCAGAAGCTCTGTAGGCCCGAGGCAGGGGAATGGGGACACACAAACCCCACGATCCCTGCCTCCCTCCACAAAGATGTGATTTTCCTCTTACTGGTTGGAGGAGCCTGGACACAGCCCCGTCCAGCATGTCGTGAAAGGGCCCAGGCAGAAGCAGCAGGGATCGCCCTCCTGCCGTACGATGGGGGCCCTGGAGGGCTGTGGGACCCCCGAGGCTGTCAGGGCAG